AGTACGCTCCGGACATGCACCTGATGTTTGTTGGATTATGCTTCTACAACCATGGAAAACCGAGGATTACTGGCGCGTCAAGGGAAGAAGTGGTAAAGACGGTTATATTTTCCTGATGATTGCCTGACGTGACTAATTTGACAGGAGTGGTCTGGTGAGTGATCATAGCGAATACCTCATTATTTAAAGCAGAGGCTGGAATTGGAGGCTCGAGCTGAGTGAGGGGCAAGTTCAAATATTTAGCCACCTCAGTGTCTATTAAATTTTGCTCTGACCCAGAGTCCACGAGAGCATGAAAAGAATGAGCCTTAGTACTAGTTATCAAAGAAACTGACAGCAAAAAACTGGGTTTATCTCCTTTGAAAACACTGCCCACCTGTAACCCCGGACTTACCGGCGGGCCACACCTTTTTGCCGGACCGGGCAGACAGCGATGCAATGGCCGCTTCCTCCGCAGTAGAAACACTCTCCGGCTCGGGAACGCCGTTCCCGCTCCTCAGGAGTGAGCCGTGAGCAGCCGATTTCCATAGGCTCTGGGGAAGGAGAGTGAGGACGGGCGGATGTTGTTACCAGAAGTGGTGGGGGTAACGTGGAAGTAGTCGCAGGCCGAAACAGAGACGGAGAGGGCTTGGAACATCTCTCAGCGTCTCTTTCCCTCAGTCGATTATCAATCCTGAGAGCGAGAGAGGCGAGCGCTTCGAACGTGGCCAGCTCGTCGTGTACAGCTAGCTGATCTTTCATCTGTTCATTAAGGGATGCTAGAAAAATACCCCACAGCGCGGCAGCATCATTTGGGAAAGCGTGTGGCGTGCGACTGACGAACAACGACCACAGAAAAAGGAAACCCCCACACTGCCCCAACTCTCAATGGAAAGGCTCCGGTGGAGGGGAGGAAATGCCCCGATAAACCGATTCTATTCGTGGGTGCAGGCGACGGTCCCGGCTGACTGGGGGGAACAGGCGGATTCGGCTCACAATTTCTGAAAGCCTGGTGAGTATTTCCGCTTGCTTTTCACTAATAGCGTTACACTGATCCACTAGGGACGTCAATGTCTGTTCATGCCGTCCTAACACCGCGCCCTGTTTATTTATGGCGGCGTGAATTGGGTCCGCTGAGTCCATTATTGGCCAGTTCGTTCTGTCTCAAACAAGGATGCAGTGGACTCAAGAGCAGACTTAATTGCTCGAACTATGTACAGTTTATTGAAAGAAAAAGGAACTTAAACAAGACTGGGTCTAACAGAAATCATTCGCAGGAACTGAGGGAGGCCCGAGGGTGGAGAAAGGGACGTAGAACACAAGAAGAACACGGGCGGGAACTTCTGCAAACACAGGAGAAGGGTTTTACTGAATGGGAAACAATTAAAAGGCAGAGGTGAGTGGTACTAGTGGAGAGTCTTGAAAACACCAGCTATTAGGCGGGGAAGGGGTTGCCGTGAGAGCGTCCCAGGGATGGTTGAGAGTGTGGGGAAGCTGGTCTAGGTTCCAAGGTGTCCAGGGAAGTTGAAGTACGGGCTGGAGGGCAGGCTGAGGAGAAGATGAGTGTGTGGTCCTAGGGTTCTAGGCAGACTGAAGAACAGGATGGAAACAGAGTCCGAGCACAGAGGAAACCAAGTTTACCACTGGTGGTAGCAGGACGAACTGGCAAGGAGTGGCAGGCAGTGCTGGCTTCAAAACCCTCTAGATGGAGCCCCGGAAATTGGAAGCAGGTGATGAGCTGGCCAACTTCACCCCAGGGGACGGACAACAGGAACCTGGACCACACCTGACCAGACACTCCCACAGCATATGACAGCAAGTGTGCCTGGGCACAAGAAAAAGTGAAAGATCTAGGATACATTGTTGGCCATGGACAAATAAAGCTGCAAATTAAAAAAATAAAATCTATACAAACAATCCCCAGACTGAGAAAACAAGAAGCAATTGAGGTCATTTCTGGGCTTTGTTATGGTCCTGGGTCGGTGACCCAGTGTTTTTGTTTTTTACTTTTACTTTTGATTTCATCATGGTTTGTGACTGTTTGTGTTTTGGGTTTCTGTCCCAGTGTTTCTAGCTCCCTAGTTTCGTGGTACTTTCTGAGTTTTGATTTTTAGGTTTTGTTATTCGACATCCCAGTGTTAATTCTGTGCTCCCTTTGTTCTGTGTCATCCCTACCTGTGTATCCCCTCTAGTCAGGTCTCTGTGTAAAGCCCACGTCTCTGAGTCTGTGTCTTCGCGTGTGTTTTGAGTTTTTTGTCTTATTGTGAAAGTCTGTGTCTTATGCCAGTGTGTTCAGTTTGCGTTTCCATTGTCTCGTCTTGTCGATCACAATCAGTTGTGCCTCCCTCCTGTGTGTAGTTTCCTCGTTCCCTTCTGTGTATTTATAGTGGGTGTTCACTCATGTTTGTTGCTAGTCCGTCTGTGTTTCTTCTCTGCGTTTCTCCCAGAGTCGTCCGTTCGGGTTTGTTTTGTTAGTCACTCCCAGTATAGGTCACCTTTAGGTTTTGTTTCTGTTCGCCGTGTTTCTGATTGTGCCACCAGAGTGATAATAAAAGCTCGCTCATATCCAAGCCAGTGCCTGCCTCTGGATCTTGTCTCTCACTCATCACACGTCTGCTCCGCAGCCGTGACAGGCTTGGTTGGATGGTATCCAAGTTTTATTCTCCATCTCTCAATCTTGGCAGCCCCTCTTATAGAATTAATGAGAAAAAACACCTCTAAAGTGATGTGGAATAATGGCTGTGAACATGCCTTCCAATCTTTAAAGAGAGTTTTCTGAAGCACCTGTTTTGCAAAGCCCTGGATCAGAGAGTAGCTGGTTTAAAAAAAAACTTGCACTTTTTGTTAGAGTTTGTATTGTTGATTGTCATTTATGCTTAGAAATATTTACTTATATATGCTTAGAGTTTTGTAATTAGTTGTAGGTTGGTAGAGGTTTTGATCCTTGATAGTCTGCAAACTTTGTGTGTATTAGACAGCACTTTGGGAGCATGAGAGGTCATACCGTGTCTTATTGTTTTATGGTAGAATCAACGTAGTTGCGTCTGTTCTAGTCTAAGTGCTCTTTGTTTAGATGAACTGCAGGACTTCCTCACCGTGTTATCTAGGATGAACCATCTAGGGTGAGGGGGAGGCTACCCTCTTCCTGACCAAGGATGTTTGACCCTTTGATCAGCAGTACACACACACACACACACGCACACGCACACACACACACACACACACACACACACACACACACACACACACACACACACACAGTATTCTTTGTTCACATGTATACCTATGTAGACGTCATATGTTAATGAACCTATGCATATTCATGTAACCTCAATAAAAGGACAGTGTACGGGAGGACGGACGGGAGCAACTGGGGTCAAGCGAAGGGACGGCGCTCTGTCCGGTTCTCTCCCGTGCCCGAGTAACATGAAGAAGCTTGCCTACTTGTGTCTTGCTTTGCAGTGTAATTATATTGTCTTCAACGTTCCAGCGGATGGGTTCAAGTTACAAACCTATCACTTTTCTTAAGTAAGAAGCTGTTTGACAGGGAGAAAAAGGTACTCTGCAGTAGAAAAAGAAGGACTGGCAATTAAATGGCCTACTGACTCTTTGAAATATTACCTCCTTGGAAGAGAATTTACGCTTCAGTTGGATCACAGACCCCTGGTATCGATGCACTCCAAGCCACATCAAAATGCAAGGATACTGTGCTGGTGCCTAGTGCTCCAGCCTTACCAGTTCACCATCCAGCATTTTCCAAGAATCTTATTGTCCAAGAATCTTATTGCTGACTGTTTTTCCATTTGCCGGATATGTGTCAACAAGAAGGCAGGGTAGTGAGTAATGTTGGGAAGCACTAATGCAGCAATATGTTTGCAAGTTACCTCTGTGGTAGCTATCTTGTTTTTCTTGTAAAGAGGGTAAAGCCCGACTTAATTGCAGTTCTTTTATAGGCCAGTTTGAATTGAGAAGGTGTGGTCTCAGAGTATATAAAGCTGGCAGGAAACGGATAGGGGGGCATTTTGGAAGTTGCTGAACAATTCAGACATTACTCAGTTAAGAGTAATGTCTGTTGTGTTCCACACCACACCACTCTGCTTAACATTTTCTAACCAGCCTATAGCACATATAAACAACAGATGCCGACCTTTTCCTCTGTACTTTTTCACCTCTGCTGCTCTGATGGTGAGCAGCAGCCCTTCAGGCCGGCCTGTATAATTGTATTGACAAAGAAAAATAATTATACCGAACGGTCGGTCCACTGGGCTAATGCCAAGTATGCCAGATTACCAGTCTCTGAACACAACCCATATACTTGACTGTGCTGCTTAACCAGCAAATTTGTTTTCCTTACAAATGTGACATTATGTGCGGGTAAATAAACAGGCTTTCCAGCAGTACAAGATTCATTGCCAAAAAGCAAAACCGACAAAACACACATTTCCTACCTACTTATGCTATGTTTATATACATGCCACTCAGATATCATGTCACATATAGAGTAATAAATGAACCAGTGAAAGAGACAGGATAAATAGTCAATGTAACAATGAAAACAACCCAGGTACATGGAGCTCTAATTAAATCCAAATAGATGATAGCAGAATTAACAAAATACAGCTAATGTAAAGCTAATTAAAATTTCTACATTTCTGTGCTTTATCATTATTCATTCTTCATATATTTATTTCTTGAATTAATGAATTAAAGAAATTCAACAATATTAATGTCGAATTTAAGTTGATTTTTTTTCAGTTAGCTGTACCTAAATCACAGTTGGTTTCTATATAAAGAACAGTGCATTTGTATAACTTTTTTATTAATTCCTCTACCTTAAGATCTTAGCTTTCATGTTATTACAACTTTTCATGTCTGAAACTATAATTCTCACACTCTACTCTTTTACTGAGCTTAACAAGTGGCAGCTTAAAAAATAAAATCAAGAAAAATGTAAATCGACAGGTGTAGAAGAGAGCTATGAGAACATTAATCAACAGTAAAAGAGGTTATTATATCAACATGAAAAGACTAATTCCTCTTACTAAGGTACCTGTAGGAACACTTCCACTTTTATGTTATGAATCATCAGTACTATCAATTTTAATATTACTTTTTTTTTTT